TAAGATGTTGAGCCGTCGATGATTAAATAATTGCGTGCCGCGAAATTTAATTTTCTCGAATGAAATTATACTGTAACGTAATCGTATTAATATAAAATTAAATTATCCATAAAGCTAAGTAAATTATGTACTTATGTATGGTATTTAAATACCGAAAGGTAAGATAAAATTCCGCTTTAGGAAATACTTTTGAAGACATGTAAAGTAATTCTTTATTATCCGATTGACTGAAGAGTTATAATTTATATTATACAGGTTGGTTAACATCACACGAAAAACACATTAGTGTAGCTAGATACAAACCCAGGACCTGAAGATTATAAATCAAGAGCACAGATAAAGCGACATTAAATCCTTGCAAAGATATAACTGATTAAACAGGTTGATGAAAATAACAATTTCCTATAGAATTCGACTACGCATATGAGTAGGTATCCATTATATGGTAACGTGTAACCTAAACCGCTATATCGATTTTCAAAAGAGACAAATATTCGTCCCCTGAGCATGTTACCTTTTATCGTTCCTCCGTTCATCATTGTCGTTTTAGATCTACTATCATTGAGATAATGTACACATAATATAATAATAAAGCCTTTATTGCTGAAGATTTTTTTGCAATTCTTTTTTATCTTATAGTTATTTACATTTTGTTTAATAGAAAAATATCTTTTGAACCGACGCCTCGTATCCCTAATCTACAGCTTGTCCTTGGACAAAGGCCTCCTCTAAAGACTTCCACCTTTGTCCTATCCCTAGCTTCACGAATCTACAAACAAATTCCAACTTTTTTAAAGTCGTCTTCCCTCCTCTTTACCTGTCTTCCTTTGTTTCTGAATGTACACATAGTAAATATTAATTCTAGGTGATTGAAAATTACGCGCTTCAAAGACTATCTACGCTTGAGGCAATGTACATTAGAAAACGTAAGAATATTCGTTGAATAAATTTCAATAAATTTAGTTTCAACGCGAGTGAGCAGAAAGAATTTGTTCCATTCCATAAGTTCACTCAATCACCGCAAAGGGAAATGCGGACTTTTTCACTGAAAGAAAATGTAGATCAACTATATAACTACATAATATTGCTGTACATATTTTTTTCTAGTATTAGTTACTAAAGTACATAGTTATTATGAAATTTCTACATTCATGTCCTTCAAAACAAGAATATATATTCTTAAAGGACGATAACGTAACTATCCCTGTTGCTTCTCTACCATCTCCTCTAACAAATAATCCTACAGACTTTAACAAAAGCATAGAGTAATTTCTATCTAAAGAGAATAAATGAGGAGGATGACAGTATATTTGTCTGAACAATATGTTTCGATAGTGATCATCATGTTTCCTGGATATTTCATTGGAATGGATTATATTTCATGGAATACATCTGTTATTTTTGTTTTTGTGCATAAATTTCAATTTCGTTGCACGTCAGCAAAATAATTATTGTACATCGAGTAAATAGCACATTTTCATATGTATAAGTTCCCGGTAAATGATTGACTGTTTTATCTTTTATAGAATTGACAGCAAAATAGTGTAAGGTCTACGTTCTTTTAGAGTCTGTTGTAAAATATTTGACTTTGTCTATTAAGAAAATGGTGACCGAGATATTAAAGCTGTCTTTGTCCGATTTTAATTAAATCTTAGCAAATTACAAGTCATCTTCGTTTAAATCTATGATGAATTGAAACAGTGAAATAGGAATGACTGCATTGTCATATAAAAAGAACAATAGCATTAAAAATATTTAATTCAGCGAAAGTGGGAACAAAAGATATAATGGAGCTTTATCTACATACATTATTCTTTTGTTGCGAGATCGTTCCCTTGCCTTCATAACAAATTTCAAAGAAATTCCTAAAAGAATGGGTCAAAGAGATTATTAGAATTTGAATAGTTGAATATTTTGCCTTAAGAATATCCGACTAGCTTTCTTTTTGGGAGTTGTATTTGCCAACTTTACATGATCGAAAAAAAAATAGTAACTTGCTGTAAGAACAGTTTATTAGATAAATACAGCCAGATGTCAATTATGGGTCGCTAGCAATATTACTAACACGTACTAATTAGGTAGAGGACAGTTTTTTAATAAGTATAAAATTTTACAAAAATGTTTACAATACTTTTGTTCGACGACACTTTTATAAAAAAAAATCATAATAAGCAAATTATAATTCGGAGGCAAAGTAGACAACTTAACGGCATGTGCCTCGTAAAGATGAGAAAAATATTAGGGTCCTGCTCAAAGTAGCAGAAATAATTTGGTGTAAACAGAAATTACTCTATGTTCGTCAGTTTCGACACAGCATTGGTATAATATTTTGTAATTTTTTTGATGTTTCATTTTCTATTACAAAAAGAAAAATAAAATTATTCATTTCTTTGTGTATAATTTCAACAAAAGGTTGTAAATTTCAAAACATTTCCAGTAAACGTTTTATCTTAAACAATTTTACGATCTATATTAATTCCACAAAATAACAGTATTTTGATGTCCCTCTGTTTAATTAATTTACGCGTCGTAGGTAAACAAACTGTCAACAATATTAGCTCAACATTTGATTATGTTTGTTACAATAACCTCGATACGACACCTTGTTTTTTTTTTATTTTGTTTAGTAAGATTGTGTCACACGGCGCGCCGGGAACGGGGTCAAGAGCCAGGTGCGCTTTATATCTGAATGTTAAAATCGTTTCAGTCACAGTAAAACGACACGTATTTACGATCACGGTATTCCTACATATTGTATTTATTCGTAAACGTATTTCGCCTTTGGGATCATTTGGACAATCTGTTGCGCTCACAAAATTCTAACGATTTTTAACAGTAGGAATTATGATTTTAGTTTAACCTGGATAATATATAAGACTTTCATAAAATAGTTTGAAAACATTTCTATCTTCCACGCTTTTACTTTGAACAAACTAAAAGATTTTTTAGTCCGCTAAAAAGTAACCCATAATGTCCCATTACATGAGTGTTTTTTACAAAGCTTTTTTTTTAAAAAATATATCCTTAACGGGATTATACGGGTGATGTCATTATAAAACTTTTAACATGATCAAAAAAGTTGATGTAATAGTAGCTTTACATACGAAGTCTCTTTGAAAATTTACTTTGGTCGGTTCATTGAGTCTAAGGTAAAGCAAAGGAAACTTGAAATACTTAGCGAAGTTGGTAGTTCACACAGGGTAAACTTGTTATAGAGAGCACGTGTACGATCGTGTTTCAAAATGTTTTTATGCTTTAAGGTGGCGAACGAAAGGCCACGTGAATTTGCCGAGAAAGCAAAGCGATCGTTGCATATAAATCCGTAAATACAGACGTTGTCTACTATTATTTAACGGAGGAGACACACATAAAGAGGATATTTTCCCTTCCTATACTCGAACGTCAAATCCACTTTTCTTTCCCATCCTTTTCGTATAAAAATGGTAGGAAAGGAAAGGGATTAATATAAGGACTGTACCATACTCATTAAGAAACGCGAAATTGCTTCCACTTAAAGCCTATCTTCTGTGTGGTAGTGCTATTGCACCGTTTGTGCCCATTCGAAATTCGAATTCATTCTTTGAATTTGTTCTCACTGTGTTTGCGAGGTAAAAACTTAGTTTGTGGTCATACGAATATTATAAATATGAAAGTTTAGATGGATGGATGGATGTTTGTTAGAGTTTGTAGCCTAAACTACTGAACGGATCTCTATGAAAATTGGCATAGATATAGAGGATAGTCTGAAAGAATACATAGGCTACTTACTTTTTTTTTAATTCCACGCGGACGGAGTCGCGGGTGAAAGCTACTTCAAAATAAAAGTAATCGCAATGTTAATAAAAAAAATTCAAATTGAATGGTATTATTCTTCAATTTATTCCACTGTTTATTCAAACATTACGATTCTATAAATGCTTTTTAGAAGTACTCGTAGAACAAAAACAAAAGAGCTGCGAAATCATTCAAACAAAAGATCTATCTAAGATTGTTATTAACGATAATGTCGACCCATTTTATGTTAAACGGATCCAAATTTCAACGAATCAAACTGATTGTGTTTGATATTTCCACAAATGACTTTCTTTAAAATAAAGACGGACGGCCATATTAACAATACTTGTAAATTACTTTATAACACACAAACTGAATTCCAATGCGACAACGCAAATATATCGAACGTTTCGTTGTGACGACTAGTAAAACACAGAGCTTTTTGGCGACTGAACGCCGAGACGCCGAGCCTCTCCTTGCCATATATTTTATAAAACTACCCCCCACTATTCCTTCCGTTTCCTAATATTTTCCTGACAATGTTGTTGTTTTAAATAAAGATAAATGTATTGATAAATAGCACAGATTAAGAGATAATTTTGAAGAATGCAGAATACATCAAAAATAGTTAAAAAGATAACAACTGTAAATGTTTATTTTTTTAGTTCTATGCGAAGGAAAAATTATGGATTTATCTCTTACTTGATTGATCTTTAATCTAATATTATTTAAAAAAGATGTTTTTTTATACATACACTAGCTGTTCCCGGGCGGCATCATCTGCATGTAAATAAAAAAAAAATATTTCATTCTTACATTTGCCAAATTCTCAAATGCAAATGTCCAAATTACCGTTACCATAATAACCTAGCTTCCTTAATGTTGGTAGCTTGTAGTTTATGGTCCCTTTCCTACATGAAGGGTTTATAGCTTAAAGCCTAAAGCGTGTCGTAAATGTAAGGCTTTTTATTAAAATAAAGATTATTTAAAAATATGCCGTGATTGATCTTACGCCACAAAGTAGTGTGTGTTTACGCTTTATTTTATTAGTACAGATTAGAATAAAATTGACTCCTAAGTTATAATATAGGTTAGTTGGAGAATCCATTAAAGATTTCGTCACCAGAAACAATACCACTTACAACACAGTAGCGTGCATTGTATTTATTTAAATTCTCTTTTGAACAATATGTGATTAGATTCCACTTAGATCAGTTGTTGTTATAATGTCTGGAAAAGTAGACATAAAACCGGGTTCGTCTATTAGTGAAATTTTACGTGGATTCGAGAAACAATTAGGTTTTAAAAATGAAATAAAATGGTCAACTGCAATTCCTATAGTTTTGTATCACGTATTAGCTGTGTATTGGTGCTATCATTATGCTTTCCCTGTGAAATGGCAGACGCTGCTTTTCGGTAAACACTTAATTATATCAACTAATGTAAAGAAATCTTACTAATGTTATAAATGTGAAAGTTTATGTGGTGTATATGTGGGTATGCTTATAATAATGTACCGTCTGAATGACGCATAATAAATCAGTCCAGTACCAACCGCCGTTTCAATAACACCCCTACATTACAGTTTAAATGGACGGTTTTTTTTTATAATATAAGGTGGCAAACCAGCAAGCGGCCACCTGAATCCACCGAAGTGGAAAGCGATCACTGCCCATAAACATCCGCATTTGCAGATGAGTTGCCTACCCTTAATTGACAGAGAAGGAGACGCACATAAAATGGACATTTTCCCTTCCTATGCGTCTCATCTACCGTCAAATCCACTTTTCCTTCCCATCATTTCCTCTTGAGAAAAGGGGGAAAGGGACTAAAATTAGGCCCCCGAAATGGATGGATGAATGTTTGTTAGAGTTTGTAGCCTAAACTGCTAAACGGTTCTCGATAAAATTAGCCATAGATGTAGAGAGATCGGCTGCACATAGGGTACTTACTTTGTTTTTCTTTACATTTCTACGCGAATGGAAACGCGGGCGATATCGCGTAAATTAATAAATGTTAAGAGCTTCAGTAATAAGATGTTGACACATTTTTTTATTAATTAATTTTCTCATATTGACCAGAAACTAATACAATTTCAGCTATAGTAATGTACGTTTTGAGTGGATACGGCATCACGGGCGGAGCTC